TTTTTTTTTTTTGTGCGAGTGTTATGAGATTTTAGAGAAATACTGATGAGGTCACCATGCTGTATTTTGTTGAAGACACTCAGACTATGCAGTATTTGTTGGTAATGAAAATGTGTCATTCCATGAGAGAATGGTCACTTTGAGTTTTAAGGGGCAAAGTGGATTCAAGCATGGTCACACTGCAACTTGATCCCCCACTCATACTTTAATTTGAACAATATAAAGCTGAGCGTCACAGTGAGTGAGCTGACTAGCTAGAATGAAAAGTCTAGTATCTCAAGATAGCTACCTGTGCACAAAGCCTGTCCATTCATTCAATGCAAGCTCATTCTCTACTTGACATAAATATCCAACGACTCAAGTGTTTGAAGGAATAAATTCAACTTAAAGTTGATCAATGCAGTTTCATGAAAGTGCTAAAAAAGTTTACTGAATACATTGCTTATTGCTATACAGGGGAAATGGACCAAATTTGTGAAATATCAATGTGCTATTATTTTATCTCAAGCCAAAATCACACGCTCAGTCAACAACCTTTTCATAATTACCTCAATGTTTGATGTCAAAAACTGCCTTTTTTTCATTTAATTGAAACATGTCATGTTCTTGGTTAATTTGCAATAAATGTATGTGGCAGAAAATGCTAAGATTTGTATTCAAAAGACCACAATGAATGTTGTTTCACAATGGTAATTGATCAAACCTTGTAAATACAACTAGGATTTTAAAATTTTTGTCAAATTGATATTGAATCCGCTATTTTTTTTATTTCTTTCCTCCAACAATCAAGCTAAGCCGAACAATCCGACGGGCATAAATGGGTCCATTTTCTGCTCATGCTAGAGCATTCATACAAATACTTGCCAACTAGCGGTAGCATATGCCAAAAGCATTTATTTTGACCATCGACTCAAATTTGTCATTGACATATTTGTGTATTTGCTAAAGTCAGATAAGTCACCAGTCCAAACCAATTTAAGTCATTGTATCCATTCTGTTCATTTTTAATAGCTTCTCAATGGGTAAGGCTATAATAGTTAAGCTACGTTTTATTTTGTAAGACACATGTAGTATTTAAGTAATATATGTTTTGTTAAACATTACAGTATCATTTTTGTGGTATCAAATTAAAAAAAAATTTAGTGCAATCTCTGACCAAATGATATTTCATTTCTAACTGCCATTTTCGTGTTGCCATTTTTTGTTGCCGCGATATTTAGATTTTTATGCTTTGTATTTGATCATCACAAGTGTATAAGTACACTATATATATATCTGTACATTGTTGTCTTAAAATAATAGATTCTGCATCACCAAATTTCTCTCTCACATGTATTTGTATAAATGTTATATTGAAGTGAGAATAAAGGTTAGAAGAAAGTCAATCAGTCTTGGTAATCAGCAGGGGTGACTTCAACTGCTGCAGAAATCAATGAATAAATTGAGTAAAAGTACTTCCCTTTGACTCCTCACACTTGTGTCAGAGGAATACACTTTATCTTGTTTTGGAAATTCAATGCAAAATGATTTCCCCCAGAAAATTAGCTTGTCTTCTTTTGAACATACAGATGTGTGTATGCCCTCATGTAAGACATCCCAGTGTACAAATACTATATTTGCTATTTAGAAGCGTGAAGTAAGAGCTTTATGAAAAGTAAGTTTTCAATTAAAAGTCCTTGATTGCATATTAGTGAAAAGAAGTAACAATTGAACAAAAGTTTACCTCTATTCAATGTTAGTACTTGTACTGTGGCTGGGATGAGGTCTGATTTGACTAAGTCATTTCAGGTGCAGTTCTTAGTATTTTATAATCCAGGAAGCCATCTATTTTATGCTATGCTATGCTGTCCATGCATGCATGCAATGAATCTTTGGTAAATATGGATAATATTGATGTGCATTGACGAAATATTAAAAATATACTTTTTAAAAGCAGGGTAAAACATTCTCCTACGTCATTGTCTGAGATGATTTTTTTAAAGAATGAAAGTAAACAAATGATTGGTCTGTTGCTATGGTAATAGACATCAGTGATGATGGGAGTAGCTGTTGAAAGTAAAGGTGTTTTGAATAATGCGTCGCAGGGGGCTTTATTTGTATGGATATGGTCATGGCATATATCATACTCTGCAGTGGTCAGAGATAAGCTGTTTCTGCCAGTAGATTGTATGTGTCATGTTTGGCACCTTGCAACATTTCATCATCTTTTTGCAGAGAAAGCAGGCAAAGCTATGTTTATACTGAATAAAACATTGGAAGGGAACACTGACATCAAACTCTTTCTGAAATTATTTCATTCAAACATTAAACCCATTTT